TAGAATAGAATAGAATAGAATAGAATAGAATAGAATAGAATAGAATAGAATAGAATAATAGAGTTGGAGGGGACCTTGGAGGTCTTCTAGTCCAACCCCCTACACTGCTTCAGACAAAGGTTATCCAACATCTTTTTAAAACTTCCAGTGTTGGAACATTCACAACTTCTGGAGGCAAGCAGTTCCACTGATTAATTGTTCTAACAGCCAGGAAATTTCCTCCTCAATTCCAGGTTGCTTCTCTCCTTGATGAGTTGCCACCTGTTGCTTCTTGTCCTGCCTTCAGGTGCTTTGGAGAATAGCTTGACTCCCCTCTTCTTTGGGGCAGCCCCTGAGATATTGGAACACTGCTGTCATGTCACCCTGAGTCCTTCTCTTCACTAGACTAGCCGTGCCCAGTTCCTGCAACCGTTCTTCATACGTTTTAGCCTCCAGTCCCCTAATCGTCTCTGTTGCTCTTCTCTGCACTTACACCAAAGGAAGTCATCTAATTCACCTTAATCTCTGCCTTGTTCCTTACACTACGTTCATGTTTGCAAGGATTGATAGGTGAATTGCATCTGTGTTTTTTTTTAATTGCACAGGTCCTACATTGTGGTTTCTTGCACGCTTCTTGCGTGAAAGTGCTTTCGGAGCACTTTGTTGGTTTTGGCACAAACACAACTGGGCGAAAAGGAAGCACCTTTTCAATGGGCGGCACTCCCCAAGCATTCTTGCTTAGAGCCCTCTCTCCTCTCAAATTCCTTTACCTTAAAGCCTTTCGTGCTGGCTTTGACGTAATTGTTTCAGCTCTGCTTGGGTCATGTTGTGGTCCTCTGGTTTACAGGTAATCCTCGATTTACGACCAGTTGCTTAGTTACGATGGACGCCCCCCCCAAAAAAAATATCGTACTTGCTTACAACCCAGATTAGAAGTTCCAACAGCCCCCAGAGTCACCTGACTGCATTTTGGGTGCTCAGCATTATCTCAAGTCACGTGACTTGAGATGACTTTTTTTTTTGCTTTTGCCAGAAAACAGAGTTCACTTTTTTGGTTAAAAAAACAAACAAAACCCACACATTGTGGACAATGGGGTTCACTTAACAACCATGGTATCCTGAAGTTTCACTTAAACACTGCCACAAAAAAAGTCCTAAAGCCAGGTCAGCCACGTGATGGCCCATTTAAACAAGCGGCACGATGTAATGACCCTAATTCCAGGCTCAACTAAGGTCTGTAAGTTAGAGCAGGGGTCTCCAACCTTGGCGACTTTAAACCTGGTGGACTTCAACTCCAAAGCAAAGCTGGCTGGGGAATTCTGGGAGTTGAAGTCCACCAGGCTTAAAGTCACCAAGGTTGGAGGCCCCTGAGTTAAGAGTCCTGTAGATAATGACAGCAGATGGTGGTCTTCGTTTCCGTTTTTCACATGGCATTTTAGCGTTTGTTGTATTGATCTACTGCCATAACCGTTTGGGGGGTGATGCTAACTTTTAATTGGTTCTCTCTGAACATTGCTCAAGTAGCTTTTATCACTGGGGAAAAACGAGTGAACGGTGAGTTAATTAAATCAACCCGCGGATGTTCTGTGACTTGCAGGTTGTATGCAGCCCCAAGAAAAGGCACTGCCACCTGCCTGAACAGGAGAATAAGCCGAAGTCAAGGAATTACAAAAAGACAGCGCACACTGCCTTCAGTCCATCCAGCAGCCAGAAGGACACTCCAGATACCCCCAGAAGCACAGTCAGCCAGGGGGTCTTCCCTTGTAAAGAGTGTGCCAGGTTAGTACCGCTGTTTATTCATTCTCTCTTGATGCTTTGTGATCATGTTTGGTGAGGATGCCTAATCTCTAAAAGCGTTCCCCCGCTTTCATGTTTCACATGTTGGGGTCATTTGCTGTGGTATCTCAGAAAGTTTTGCCTTCCTCTGATGGCCCCTGGTCCAGGCGCATCAGAAAAAGCTGGAGGGAAGAGAGAGCCTGTTTTATTTTATATTTTATATTCATTCATTCATTCATTCATTCGAGTGGTGCGGTGGCCAAGAGGTGGAGCTCTCACCTCACAATCAGGAGGCTGTGAGTTTGCTCCTAGGGAGAGGCAGATATTTCTCTCTCTGGGCACACTGAGAATATATCTCCTGAATAAAAACTCCGCCCTGGTAACAGGAAGGGCATCCGGCCAGTAAACACTCAGCTCCATTCAGTTGCCCAGACTCCCCCCCCCCGCAAGGGATTATGGAGTCATTAAACGAGGATGCTCATTGATTGATTGATTGATTCATTCATTCATTCATTCTATAGCTTCCCACATTTGTCAATGACTGGGTGGCTTATAATTAAAAAAAAAACACATTACATTTGAAATGCTAAAAACATTTTAAAACAATAAAGATATCCAAAATAAATATACAGAGCAGCCAAGACAGTTAACTGGCCTGTTAACAGTATAGCAAGGAAACTTAGCAGATTCAGCCTCCCAAACTCGAGAATACAGCCAGGTTTTTAGGACCTTAAAAAAAGGCTTGACACGGTTGGAGCGACTTTTAATTTCCAAAGGCAGGATGTTCCATAGAGCAGGGGCTGCTGCAGAAGAGGCCCTGCTTCTAGTCCCCGACGTTCTGTGGCTGACAGACACTGCAGCGTGCCTGTTCCTCTCGATCTAGTTGGATGAGTAGAGGGTCTTGGGCAAAGATGACCCCTCAGGCACCACAGTCCGAAGCCTGGTAGGGCTTTAAAAGTAACCACCAGCGCCTTGAATTGCACTCTGAAACACACCAGTATCTGGCACCATTTATTAGTGTTTGCTTACACTAGCTGATAATTTCTTCCATATATTTGTGTGTGAGAGAGAGGGGGAGAGGGAGAGAGGGTAGGAGAGAAAAAGATGGAGTGAGAAAGAGAGAAGGAGGGAAAGAGGGAAGGGGGGGGGAGAGGGAGAGAAAGAGGGAGGGAAGGAGAGGGGGGAAGGAGGGAGAGAGAGGGTAGGAGAGAGCAAGATGGAGTGAGAAAGAGAAGGAGGGAAAGGGAGAGGAGGGGGAGGGAGAGAAAAAAGGGAAAGGAGGGAAGGAGGGAGGGAGGGAGGAAGAGAGAGGCAGAGAGGGAGGGAGAGAAAGGGAGGGAAGGAGAGGGGAAAGGAGAAAGGAGGGAGAGAGAAAGGGTAGGAGAGAGCAAGATGGAGTGAGAAAGAGAAGGAGGAAAAGAGTGAAGGAGAGAGAGGGAGAGAAGGGAAAGAAGGAGGAAGAGGCAGAGAGGGAGGCAGAGAGAAAGAGGGAGGGAAGGAGAGGGGGGAAGGAGGGAGGGAGGGAACTGTACAACTGAAGAGTGCTGTGTCTGGTCTACCACTAGAGTGTTTGACAAGATAAAAAGTCGGAATGCCCACATGAAGCGCCATCGCCTACAGGAACAAATGGAACCAATGATAAAAATTAAGTGGCCCCTAAAGCACTTGAAAAATGAACCAAAGAAGGAAGAAAAAAACTTGGACATGGATTTCCTCCAGTGGTAAACTGGGAAGGAGCAGTTTCGGGGTAAGAAAGTTGTTAAAACTGTCAGGGGAGGGGAAAAAATCAGGTTTCTTGTAAAAATTATGTTTTAACACTCCCAATAGATAAAACGATTCCTAGTTTTGACACACCTGGGTTTGAGTTAGCAACGGAGAGGCCAACTTAACATCTGCAAAGATCATTCACCCCTCACTACAGTATTGAAGGCCAGGAGTTGACATCCTGAATGGCTCAGTGGTGCCCTTAAGAATCCCATCCTCTTCAATCCTTCATTACAAATAGTTAAATTCATCGTACAGTTTGACACAATCATGTCCTCAGCTTCTGCATTATCTCTAGGAAAAGCTGACAAAATTCCCTGAAGGCAGGGAATTCACTGTGACAACATGCACAGTGAGACTCGTAAAATTTACAAGAAATAAGGGAAAAGTTAAGATGGCTGAACTACTGTTGATGCCAGCAGTTTGTTGCTTGCATTTTAAGACAAGAGACCCCCCTATTATCTCTGTTCCAATAAGTATTAACCATATTTGTTGCAATAGAAAGAAAAGATAATACAGCATCTTACAGATCAACTTAACGATGTCAGCTTTAACCATTTGTATTAAAGTATTTTTGGGGAGTTTCTGTGCTAGTACAGATTAAACTTCTAAAATACTCAATATTATATCGCACCGGACAATTCATATCCCATCCTATGTGACTTAACGAATTAAGACTGCATTAAATTTTAGACACAAAGACTTGGAAGTATGTTTATTAAGCGTGTGCAAGATCTCCTGATCAGGCTGTTTTAAGGATGGTTTCTGGAACTTAATCTTCCCAGCTAGAAGGGTTTTATGGTGTTCAGTACAAAACAGGCTGATTCAGGGGATTAACTTTCAGATTTGAAGGTGTAACCTTAACAGGTAATTTAACAGTTGATTTAACTTACAAATCACATCCTCTGCCTATTGTATTTTGTTGCATATCTTGTTCAGTTCAAATGTTATGATACTCAAATTCTCTCTCTTTCTCTCTTTCTTTCTCTCTCTCTCTCTCTCTCTCCTCCATCCCACCCCAGCTGTGTCTTGTAGAGTTCTGTTAATATTTCTATTTTTATTTTGGAGGAGAACAAAATAGACCAATCAGTGAGAAATTGCCATTGTATTTCGTATCTTTTCTGTGACTGATATTGTACAACTGCTTTTTGATTCACTCTATAGTGCCGAAGTGATCTGTGTTCTTGTTATTTTGTATGCACTCAGCGTTGGTTATTAAATTGGGTTTTGCAACCAAAAGTGCAGCCGCTTTCTGGATTTATTCTTTGGTTAGCTAGCTCCAATCCAAATGACAGTGTGGAAATCCAAAGAGAACGAGGACTTTTGCTGTTGGACTGCTAACATGTTTCCTCTTCGCACTGAGTAGACCGGGCTGAAGCCATGCTGGCTCCGTGTTTCCTCTGCATTGGCTAGACTGGGCTGAAGCGACATGGGCCATTTTCCAGGACGGCCCTAAGGGCCGGATCTGACCACATCACAGGCTGGATGTGGCCCGCGGGCCTTGTATTTGACACCCCTGCTCTGTAGGAAAGCAGAAAACTATTGAGGCAATGTCAAGTGTAAACACCCACCACATGTGAATAGTTGAAGTCCATAACTTTATTGCCTCCCACCTATGTTACAAGAATCTCTCCAGACTGCTTGGCTTCCCCTGGGAACAACCAGATAAGACTTCCTGGATCCTGGGGGAAGCCTGTACACCACTTGTGGCGATGCAAGGACTCCAAGCTAGGCCCTCGCTTGACTCCTCCTTCCAGCCTGGCTGGCAATTTCCCAACAGGCAGGAACAAAATTTGGCACATCTTCCCGTGTTTTTACCTTACCCGCTTGTTACATCCCATCGAATCAGAGAGGAATCCGATCCTTATCATCTCCCTTCCCCTTAAGAAATATTTCTGTCTGTTTACAGAATGGTTTCCAAGGATTTGCTTCAAGGCTATTTCTCTGGCTCTTTATAGCATCAGAAGGTATCATACCCAGGTGGTCCTTGACTTACAATCATTCGTTTAGAGACTGTCCAAAGTTAACAATGGCACTGAAAAAAGGGACTTATGACCAGTTTTCACATTTAATGACCGTTGCAGTATTCCAACAGTCACATGATCAAAATTTGGGCACTTGGCAACCGGCAGGTAGTAACGACAGTTGCCTGAGTCATGTGATCCCCATTTGTAACCTTCCCAGCTGGTTTCCGACAAGCCGTCAATGGGGGGAGCCAGATTCACTTAACTACATGATTCATTGAACAACTCCGGTGATTCGTTTAACAACTGTGGCAAAAAATTGTGTGTTATAAGTCTTTCCCCATTGAAAAGTTAGTAACTTGGTTGTTAAGTGAATCTGGCTTCCCCATCGACTTGGCTTGTCAGTTATAAAAGGCGATCACATGACCTCGGGACATAGCAACGGTCGTAAGTATGAACCAGTTGTCAAGCATCTGAATTTTGATCACACGATCACAGGGATGCTTCAAAGCTCGTAACTCTGAAAAACAGTCAAGTCGCTTTTTTCAGTGCTGTTGTAGCTTTGAACAGTCACTAAATGAACGTCAGGTCCATCTTCCAAATCAATTTCTTTTATTTAGGAAAGCATCAAATTGGCAAAGTCTGTTGTAATTCTGGATCTGACACAACCCAGAATTACACCACATAATATTGGAAGTTAGAAACACCCTCCAAAAATCACATTCCCCAATAGAAGTAAATCAACGTTTGCCTGGGGTCATCAATCTCCCCCTCCAGGTCTCAGCAGGGTCAGCTTTCGTTCCCACGAGAAGGAGAACCACCTAGCCTAAACAACTCTCTCTATCTCCACTCCTCCCACCTTAGGAATGTGGCAAGCCCAAAATCCTTTCGCCCCATAACCAGAAAAGAGAAAGAAAGGAAAAGGAATATATAATAAGGCTATGCATATGTCAATTTTGGGCTTGACAATGAACTGTTGCAAGTCGAAGACTACCTGTATTTTGCTAGCTTCTTCGAGTACATACTCAAAATAATTTTACATAAACCTCAGCCTTGCCCAGTAACAACAGTAGACAGATGAACTGAATTATTTTATTTATTTTATCCACTGAATCTATTCCTCTAAGTCAATAGACTCGGTGCTTATCTTGTTAACCTTGTTTCAGTTTATTGCACAACGATTTTGCATAAGTGACAAGCCCACATAGGAAGGAGGAAACAAAACTGAGGAACATCAACCTAAATTAATGGGACTACTAATCCTGTTTAAGGGAACTAGGGTTTACCCCTCCCTGCCAGATACAGTGGTACCTCGGCACTCACTGTTAATTGTTTCTGGGTGGTACGATGAGTCCCAAAAACAATGACTACTAAACAATTTCCCATAAGAATAATGTAGGCAAGCCTACAATGACAAGTTCTAGCTTGTGCAGTGAGTACCAAACAAATGATGAGTACTGGGGCAAAATTTTCGCATCGAAATGTGTTTTTGGTTAGTTTCAAAGCAGTTGAGTACTGAGGCTCCACTGTATAACAAATCTGTTCCTCCTGGCATTTATTCTGACTTCATCCATCGATGATGGAAACAAGGATTACAAATGCATTTTCAATCAATGGACGAGTAAATTGGATACTAAGGCCATTCAGAACTTGACTCTTCATTCAGACTCCAATCAATTATTGCTGTCTACCTCCCTTTCTATAGGGGTCTTGTCGTAGTTTGAGTTACATGCCTGAGAGCAGGACATTTAAAAAAAAAACGGCTGCAGTTGTGTTTACATTAACTTCAGAGCCATAAAACTAATTTAAAACATGTTTGCTCACTGCCGTCGTACATTGTGGCCAGCTTTTTTGCATTCACGTTTGCAATCACTGTGGACAACTTCAGGGTATTCTGGGAGATCTTGAAATTAGAATTAATAATCTACACTCACTGTAGAGAACCAAGTAGAGTTTCCACACTTTGAAGATAGCGTGTGACGTGGGCCTAATGATACGGCAGAGCCGTGAAAATGACCGGAGACAAACACAGTGGCAGATACTTGCCAAATGGGCTTTCCTAGCTTTGCATCCTTTTATTTGCTAAATAGGATTAAAATAGAATAAATAAGCATTATGAGTTTTATCTTTATGAACCTGTTCAAAGCGAGATTATTAGCCATTATTATGACTTGCAATATAGCCCACACGTGTCCTATTGATGGAAATGAAACCCAGGGCAGTTTATTTGAATGAAACAACTGGTTTTTAAATTAAAGGATGAGCTCATTACCCTGCTGCCAGTTTGGTTAAAGTAACCTGAAAATCATCCTTTTTTAAACTGATCCTCCTCTTCCTCCCTCCCTCTCTCCCTCCCTTCATGGTGCATTGGCTACATCAGGACACGCTGACTTCTATGCTCTTCCCACGTCTGGGTTGTTTGTTTTTCAGTACTGGCTATGCCCAGACTTACTCAGATTCTCGTTCCCATTTCGCATTGATTCTAAAAAGTCAAAATTTTGGTGCAAGAAAAGAATTTGGTCCAGGTTTTCAGGGGCCAGCACGCCTCTCCGGTGCTCCAGCACACTTTCGCTAGCAGCAAAGGCCTGATCTGGAGGTACAACTGTCGCCGGTATAGCCAAATATTGTCGGGCTAGTCGGGCCACCGAGGGGAACCGGTGTTCGTTGCTCTTCCACCAATCCAAGGGGTTAGTGCTACGCTTGCAGAGCGGTTCCACGATGTAGTTCTCCAGCTGTTGATGGATCTCGGGCATGCTTTCCGTAGGGTCTTTTCCCAGAAGGATATCATATATACTTTGAGATTGTCCACTTGTACTTCTCTCCTTATGAGCGGCTAGCTGGCCGGCTGCTTCGTTAACCTCTGCTTTGTAATCAGAATTGGGCACCCAGAACGGGTTGGTTGGCGGGGTCTGAGGATTGAAGAACTGGGACAACATGGCCTTGACTTTCTTGTGCAACTCGCTCCGTAGACTTGGGCTGAGGAACCTCATTTCCTTAAATCGAGGATCTAGAAACGACGCAATCACCGCTGGGCTCTCCAGCAACTTATTTTCCTCCAAAATACCCCAACGCTGGGTTAGCTCCCCTCTGATATTGCTGACCACCATTTTGATGATGCCGCTGGCTTCTTCAGACTGCTGTCCGATGGCGGTGATGATACCGTGGATGCAAGGCATCAGGGAGGAGATGGAGAAATTCTGTTCTTCTCGCAAGAATGACGTGGCAATCTTCAGCGTCCTCATCACGGGCACCAGGTCCTGCAAGAGCTTCCACTGGTGATCAGCTAAATTCTGGACCACCAAAGGTCCCTTGGGATGTTCCTCCAAAACGGACATGATGGCCCACTTGAGGTCTAGCAGGCACTCGCACATCTCGATGGTGGTTATCCACCGAGCCCCGGTGTCTGTCACCAGCTTCAGTTTGGTCTTGTTGATGGCTTCTAGTTTGCTGTTGAGGGAGCAAGTGGCCTTGGCGTCTTGCTGGAAGTAACGGACGATGCTTCGAGCCGCGGTCAACGCTTCCTGCACCTGTTCCACCTCGAGGCCGGCCTTGATACACAGGTGCAGCAAATGAGCTGCGCAGCACAGGCTGGTCCAGCCGTAGACGCATTTCAGGTGGGACGAATTGGCCTCCAGATCCTGCAGGCTGTCATGCATCATGCAGAAGACCGATTTGTTGGACAACCCAAAGTCCGTGAGGACCGCGTACAGCCTATCTCCCAGGTTGCTCTCCGCTTTGTTCTCGTGCACCTGTTGGGTCTCCAGGATGCACCTGGCCCGCCGCCACTCTCCATCAATAAAATTCGTCACAATGGTCAAGTACCTCTGGTTGGGGTGAGACAGCCAGAATTCGGCACAGAGGACAATCGACTGAGCTGTCTGCAAGTAGTGTTCTAGGTGTTGCTTGACGACGTTGTATCGATGCCACAGCATGCTAGAGAGCTGCACAGGGGATGGGAGAACAAAGCTAGGTTCTAAGTAGCCAATGAGGAGGCCAAAACCTTTGTCTTTCACTACGGAGAGCGGATGCAAGTCCCGAAAGATCATCTCTAGCACCAGTTCCAGAATCACGTCTGTCCTGGGTTCCGTGCAGGTCACCGCGTGGTAGGGATTGTTGTTCTCGGGGGTCAGCTGGCGAGCTCTCTTTATGGCGTTCTCCTGAGCCACATAGTCGGGGTCTGGCACCTGGTCGTCCTTCAGTTGCGAGAGGAGGGTGTCACGGATGCTGTGTTTGCGCACCAGGTGCTCTCTCATGGTGGTGGTGCTGTTGTGGAAGGACAGCTGCTTCTTGCAGACGTTGCATTCCACGTAGGCGTCGCCCAGCTTGGTGTAGTAGTTCCACACTTTGGACTTCCGGCGGTCGACGTAGAGAGACGTGCTGGTCCCGTCGTGGCTGTTGGCTTTCTCGCGCCGCCTCCTGGCACAGGGGCCCAGATTGGCTGGCACTGCACAAGTATTGAAAACCATTGAAATCTCCTCTGTCAAAATGGAACAGGAGAGGACACAGTAACCCGCAGGCTTTGTGGTTAATTGCAGCATAGTTGAATGGGCCACATATCAAAGGATTGGGGTGGGAGATCTGGGGTGGGAGATTTGGGATGGGGCGTCATCATCAAAGACTGACATCGCTTCCAGGAAAGTGTTATTATAAGGCTACTTGGACCTCATGACAATTCTTATTTTAGGTGCATTCCCAGTTTTTATGATACAATCACTCTGTCCTTTACAAATTACCAGGATGTTGGTTTAGTAGTTAAGTGGCTGGCCTAGAAATCAGTATTCTGTCTTAGGCATGAAAGCCGGCTGGGTGACTTTGGGCCAATCACCAGGAGACTGAGAGTTCTAGTCCCACCTTAAACAGGAAAACTAGCTGGATGACTTTGGGCCAATCACCAGGAGAATGGGAGTTCTAGTCCCACCTTAGGCAAGAACGCCAGCTGGGTGGCTTTGGGCCAATCACCAGGAGACGGTGAGTTCTAGTCCCGCCTTAGCCATGAAAGCCAGCTGGGTGACTTTGGGCCATTTGCGCTCTCTCTCTCTCTCTCAGCTCAACTCATCTCATAGAATTATTGTGGGGAAAGTAGGAGGAGGAAAGAGTATTAGGTATGTCTGCCACCTTTGACTTACTTATAAAGTAATAAAGGTGGGCAAAAAAAATAATCCCTAATCAATAAATAGAGAAATACATAAATAAATCTACTTAAAGAGAGCCACCCAGTGTTGCTGGCCGGGGAATTCTGGGAGTTGAAGTCCACCTGTCTTAAAAGCTGCTAGGGTTGAAGAAACACTGTTCTAGGTGCAGCAATTTCTGGAGAAATTCCCATACCTTGCACTGTCTGAGGATAGGACGGAGCGAGTAGAGGGAGGCTTTGAATTTCCAAGATCTCCTTGGCTGCGGGCTCCCCCTCATTGTCCTCCAGCTTAACGCATTTCTGTAAGAAGTCGCTGGCCCTTTTGGAGCTCACATCTTCCATTGCGGTCTTAAAGTGAGAATCAAGAGGGGGAGAAAAAGGACAAAGTAGCATCAGAAACAATACACGAATCTGGTCTTCATATTATTTTACATACCCAATTTCCCCGAAAATATGACCGACCCTGAAAGTAAGTCCTAGTTTGATTTTTACGTGTGCGCCTAATATAAGCCCTACCCCCCCAAAATAAGCCCCAATTAAGATCCTGCCCACTCCAGAGAGGACAGGTAAAAATTAAGCTAGGGTGGGGATGTCGGGGGGAGCTGCCCTACTACTTACCTTTGGACAGGTGTAGCCAGGCCTCGCACACCGACACCTGCCTTGCTGGCCCATTTTTTTCCACAGCCAGCAAGACTTACCTGAAGGCCTCTGGAGCTGATAAGAAAGCTCTGGATCGATCCAGAGCTCTGTTATCAGCTGCAGAGGCCTTCAGGAAAGCCTTGCCAGCCGCAAAAGAAGAGTTCCTGAAGGCTTCCGACAGCGAAAAGGAGGCCGGAGGTGATGCGCGCAAGTGAGGTTAATCGGTGGATGACACCCACCCCACCCCCACCCCGAAAATAAGACCTGGTGCCTTTTTGGGTGGCCAAAAAATATAAGACAGTCTTATTTTCGGGGAAACACATTAGTGACTTTCTCAAGAGCTACAGGGCTAAAGAACTCCCCATAATTCACCTTGCAAGAGGATTTAATGAAAAACGACGGATTTATACAAGATTGGGTCCATAAACCATAGAAGTAAATTCCAAACAAAGTGCCCGACTTGTCTTTAAGATTCCATAACAAAAGATGAGGATTGCTTTTTTTTTAAAAAAAAAATAGATCGCTCCTTGTCTTACAATCACAACGGAGGCCAAAATTTCCGCGGCTAAGTGAGACATTTGTTAAAGATTCCCCATCTTACAACTTTTCTCGCCACAGGCTTGTTAAGTGAATCGCTGCGCTTGAGAAGTTTGTAATCCAGCGGTTAAGTGAATTTATTAGAAAACTGAGAATAACTTGATTGTCGCTTCGAATGTGTACACTCATCGGCCTACGTTAAAATGGAATTCTGTACAGCTCTCAAAGAATCTGGCTTTTTCACTAATTTTTGCTTGTCTGGAGGTTGCAGTGGGGGAAATCACATGACCCCAGGACTCTGCAACTGTCAAAAATCCATGGTGGTAAATCAAGGACTCCCTATAATCCCCTTTTTTTAAAAAAAAATTGCTTTGTGAACTCCTTTCCACAGAGCGTGGCTCAGCTTTAACCACATGTCATCCTGAGATGACAGGTTGCTGCTGAATAAAATATAATTGCTTTGACTTTGAAATATCCTTGGTGTTCAGATTCCTGGGGGGCGGGGGGGAGGGAATATCCCCCCCCCAGCCATCTCACATCTGCGGTGAAAACATCAGGATGCCTTCAAAGTTAATTACATGCCTTTTGTGATTCAGGAACAATCTCCGTGTCCTTCGTTATGGCTCCTGCTTTCAGCTTTCCCTACGGAGTTTCCTTCCCATCTGTTGTGTGGCTATTTTTTATTTCTTTATCTGTCTGAGTTTGGTCTTTGCTTCACTGCTGGGGCGTATCGCTACCCCAACCTCACACAGCTGCTTGGAAAAAAGAAAAGAAAAGAATTTATTTGGCTGAGGAGCTTTTTGTCGGTTGGAATCCTTGAGTTACGACCGTAATCATGGGCGTAAGTCATGACGGTTGTAAAATGGATTGTCGTGACCAGATCGGAGTTTGCGACCTTTTTTTTTTTGCACTGGACATTAAGTGAACATAGCAATAGCCCTTGGACTTATAAGACTGCTTCACAGCACTTTTACAGCCCTCTCTAAGCCAGCCTCTTGCCCCCAACAATCTGGGTCCTCATTTGACCCACCTCAGAAGGAAGGAAAGAAGGAAGGAAGGAGAAAAGGAAGAGCAATAAGACTTATATATTGCTTTACAGCGCTTTATAGCCCTTTCTAAGCAATTTACAGAGTCAGCCTCTTGCCCCCAACAATCTGGGTCCTCATTTTACCCACCTTGGAAGGTAGGTAGGTAGGAAGGAAGGAAGGAAAGGATGGATGGAAGGAAGGAAGGAAGGAAGGAAGGAAAATAGCAGTAGCCCTTAAACTTATATACAACTTCACAGTGCTTTTACAACCCTCTCTAAGCGATTTATACAGAGTCGGCCTCTTGTCCCCCAACAATCTTGAGTCCTTGTTTTACCAACTTTGGAAGGCTGAGTTAATTTTAAATAGTCTATTCAGCATGGCTTTCTTATAATGAATAGGCCCTGTATGTTTAATCTGTTTAATTAATTACACAAATTAATTCCATCGCTTGTTTCTCACAATCTCAGAATCGTACACGATTTATTGCATTCAAGCTTGCAGCCCCCTATGGCTAGCGCAGCCTTCCTTGTGGGTTTATTTATTTATTTATTTTACATAAAAGAGATTCCACAACCCCCATGACTCTCAAAAGGCCACGCTGGTCGGAGTGAATGAATGGGAGTTGTAATCCAGCACAACGGGAATGCGCCAGGTTAGGAAATGCGACAATGCTGTTATCCGTTGCACATCAGCCCGTTATTCTTGTCAAAAAAAAATTCTCTATGCTGCTGCAGCCCCCTAAGAAGGGCAAAACCCCCCGAATATCGTGCGTGTGCCAACAGTGTACCTGTTCGGGACGGCAATTTAAAAATGGGGATGCGAATTTGAATGTATTATTTTGCCCGTATGGATTTCTGCTATGACATCGGTTTCACCGTTATCAATTTCATCCGACAACCAAAGAGGTGCTTCAAAATACCCCTATTTGGAGGGAGGCAGGTTTTAATTCCCACCAGAGGCTCAACCCAATCTTGCCGAGACATTCACCGGATTCGTCCATCGGGAAAGCCAAAACGTTCCTTGGGGACAGGTGAATTTTCTGCTTGGAATTCCACGCTGCCCATCCCATCTCTCCCTCCCGTTAAAACATCCCCCAAAGGCGTCAAATGCAGCTTTTGGGAGCCTGAACAGCAAGGGAAAAGTTTTCAAGGAGCAAAGGCGACCTACTTGGCACCCCAGATTCCTGCTATCCTTACACGGAGATAACAGCTGTTTAAGCGATACTTACTCCTTTGTTAAGATGAGCGGAGGGCAGCCTCCAGTTCTGTGTGGTCTCACAGCTCCTGGCGCAGCAAAATGGGATTACAGGCTAACCTTTCTTGGGGGAAGTGATTCCTGTAGGGCTCCTCTAAAAAGTTCACAGCAGGGCTAAAAGCGTCCCCAGATTGAGAGGGGTCCCCCCCCCACTCTCCGCCCCCGAAGGACAACCAGGATAAACCCATTTTTTGTCGGTTGTCTGCCTTTTAGTTTTGAAAGCTTGCTTTCTCCTGCTTAGCTGGCAAGCAGCAAAGGATGCCCTTATCTGGCGGAGTTGTTAGAAATCCCTTTCACAGCTTGCAGTGCAATGGCTGCAAAGATATCTTTATTTATTTGCTATCGTGGTGTTAACATTTTTTTCCCCCCTTCAAAAGTGTCCTCAGCATTTGGGATTTGCTGCCTGGATGCTGGACTTCCCTGGCAAAGGCTGTCTTGTAGCTTTCTGGTTTTCCACAGAAGAATGCTGAGGACGAGATATTACCAGCAGTGAAAGCAGTGAAAAAGAACCATTGCAGGATTTTGGTTGGGCTAGTCTAGAGGAAAGAAGGGCTAGGGGAGACATGACAGCAGTATTCCAGTATTTGAGGGGCTGCCACAAAGAGGAGGGGGGTCAAGTTATTTTCCAAAGCACCAGAAGGCAGAACAAGAAAACAATGGATGGAATCAAAGACAGAAGCAACCTGAAATTAAGGAGGAACTTTCTAACCGTGAGGACAATTAACCAATGGAATGGGCTGCTGTCAGAAGTTATAGGTGCTCCAACACTGGAGGTTTTTAAGAAGAGACTGGACAGTCATTTGTCTGAAATGGTATAGCATCTCCTGCTTCAGCAGAGGGTTGGACTAGAAGACCTCCAAGGTCCCTTCCATCTTTATTCTGATGGATTGGGTGGCAGTATAACAGAGTTCGAAAGGACCTCGGTATTGTCCTTTGATTCTCGAGGGGCTTGAACAGTAGGCATTCGCGGAGCAAAGTTTTGCAACAAGCATGCACTGCGTGGAGAAACACTACTTTTAATCAGATTTAACCTATGATTTATTTCACAACCATCCTTGTCTTTAAGAGAGCCACTTGGGTATGTGGCTAAAAGCAGCACCAGACTAATAAACAGAGAGAGACTGTGAGTTCTAGTCTTGTTTTAGGCATTTAGCTGGGTGACCTTGGGCCAGTTGCGCTCTTTCAGCGCTAGGAAGATGGCAGTGGCAAAACCCTTCTGAAAATGTTGCCAAGAAAAAGGGCAGCAACTAGCCCAGGAACTCCCCAGGGGTTGAGAGCGATGTGAAGGCACAGATAGACTTCCCTTTACACACTGGCTCTTTTAGAATGGTTTATATACAGAGGTGTTCAAACTTGAGAGTTTTAAGACTTGTGGACTTCAACTCCCAGAATTCCTCCTCCAGTCATGTTAGCTCAGGAATTCTGGGAGTTGAAGCCCACAAGTCTTAAACTTGCCAAGGTTGAAGACCCGTGGCTTACAGTTTAAGAATCTTTCTGGATTAGGCCAAAAGTCCAGCCAGTTCAAGTGGGCTAGATCAGTGTTTTTCAATCTTGATAGGTTTCGGATGTGTGGATTTCAACTCCCCAGCCAGCATGCTTGGATTTAAATCATTTGGAAAATGGAAATTGGGATTCTGGTTTCCTGTACAAGAGATATAACGGATTTTCAAATTTGGCAACTTTAAGACTTGGGGACTTCAACTCCCAGAATTCCCCAGTCATGCTGGCTGAGGAATTCTGGGAGTTGAAGTCCCCAAGTCTTTAAAAAAATTGCCAACTTTGGAGAACCCCTCCCTCCCCCCTAGATCTAGAAGATCCTGAGATGGCCACAATCCTTTACTAGAGCAAATCAAGAAAGGCCAGACTATTGCAATTTTGCATTTTGCAAATCTGGCGCCTGGAAAATCTGCTCTTTCCACTGATTTTTCAAGCCACCAAGAACTTTCTGGCTGGGTACACCAAGAGGAAGGCCTGGCCTACAACTCCCATCATCCATAACCAATCTGGCTGCGGATCAAGCGCCCATTGGAAAGTCCGCAGTTCCAGTTACTTTGAGCCTATGCATTGGATTTCAACTCCCTCCCCCGTAAATAAAAAAATAATGGTACAGCCCAACAGGACCTTCCCCCCTCTCCTGGACTCTACCACCCGAGCGGCCCTCCCTTGCTGTGGTGGACGTCGCCGGCCTCCTCACGTGACGCTGGTGAGTCAGCACGGCCTAGGGTCACGTGAGGGAGAATCCAGCGGAGGGCGTGCGTCGGCGGCCCAGAGGGCGCGGCTTAGGTGACGCTGCCGATGGGGGGGCGGGAATTACAGCCGCCACCGCCGCCCATTGGCTGTGCGTGCCGACGTGGGGGCGTCAGCCGACGTCTCTTCTCTTCCCCCCCCGCCCCCAATCCTGAAGGGAGAAAGACCGCGGTGAGGGGAAGCGGTTGCGCTCGTCCGTCCGGCCTCTAGTTTCCCCTCCCCCCTCAGCTTCGGCTTCTTCGCGAGGCGCGGGCCCGCTCTCCGCCGGCCATGGCGATGGACACCAGCGGCAAGGAGAAGGAGGCGCTGCAGCTGCTCGCCGAGGCGGACAAGAAGATCCGCGGCTCCCACGGCTTCTTCTCGGGGCTCTTCGGGTAAGGCCCAGCGCCGCCGCCGCCGCCGCCGGAACCTGAGGGGGAGGGGGGGGGCGGCGGCCTGTCAGGCGGGAAGAACCGACGACGCAGGAGAGGAGGGGACGGAGGGCTGGCTGGTGGCGGAAGCGGGCCTGGGCCTGCGAGGCGTCCAGCCGAACTGTCAGGCGGGCCCCGGTTCTCTGGAAGTCGGGCCTTGTTGCTTTGCGGCGCTTCGGCAGGTTCGCGGTGGGGATTTTGTGTGACCGAGCTGAGGGCAGAAAACGGTTTTGGGGCGGACTCTGGTACGGGCGGTCCTCGACTTACGACCACAAGGGAGCCCCCCCCCCAAATTTAGGTGTGGCCAGGCAGGAAGGGGGTTTGTTAACAAGAGGAAGAAGAAGAAAACAACCTTTATTATCATTGTACGTATATACAGCGAAATTGATTTTCCTCCTGCTGGTGCTATCTATAACAAACAACACAACAACACAACATAAACAATACAGAAAATGGTCCTCATACAAGTAATTAGGGAGAAACCAGTCATGTGTTTTCAGGTATGCATGGAGTGATTGTAGTTGTTCTTACTAGCCTTAACGAGTTGAGGGAGTTTTGCCACCGTTTTGCGACCGCCCTTGCCACCGTTGTTAAGTGAACCACTGCAACAGGAGGAGGACTGTGAAGGAGTGGGCTTCACTCGCTATTTGATTTGGCATAGTTGTTCTTATTCTTATACTGATCTAGAAAAGATGCTGAAAGATAATAAAGTACCCAATCAACAACTGTCTGAAAATATGTGGGCAAGACTGCCAGGAACTCAAATAAATAGAAGTATGAGTCTCAGTAGTAATATGGGTCTAGTGGATTTTTTTTTACTGTCAAGACAGTAGAAATATTATTGTTAAAAAAATTGAGCAGGCAGCCGGGCTCAGCACTGTAGAACAGCTAGTCTATTCTGATTTAATGCGCTATTTATTTGAAACCCAGTATAAAAAAAATGAGATTTTAGTGGTTGGCAAAACGGGATTGAAGGAGGTCATAAAGAGGATGCATTTCCTATGCTAATTTAATCTTAAGGAATGACAGGTATGAATGATGTTATTAGAGGACAACAGTGTAGTTTGTCATTCATTGTTCTGCCTTCATGAATTTTCATTTGGCTAAAATTCAAATTCTGCTGAGCCTGTTCTACAGGCAGTTATGATTGTGATTGGGACCAAATCTTCTGGTGCTAAATGATATGGTTGTAAAGTGTAACCTCATGTGACCATTCCAGTTAGTGACGTCAGTCCCAGTTGCCATCATAACTACAGGACTGTGTGGCTCGTTAAGTGGGAAGAGATGGGAGCTCCAGGCAAGGAATGTGGAGGGTGCTCTTGGCACTGGGAAGCACAGGGGGCTGGCAAGAGCTTCAGGCATATGCCATGAACCTGCAGAGGTGGTGGGTGGGCTCTAGGGAGTGTGAGCTGGTTGGCGAGAGCCGTTGACAGGTGGGGGTGCTGCAGACAGGCACTAGTGAGCTGGGAGTAGGGCTCCCCTTGAGAAAAAATGGGGGTAGCAATTCATGGGATTAACTTGCAGCTTCCCCTGCTGGCTTTCCCATTGACTTTTCTTGTGGGAAGCCATCGAGGAATGTCACAGATGGCAATCCTGTGATTATGAATGGCTGCAACCGCCATAAGTGTGAGCCCATTGCCCAGCGCTTGTGTCGTCATGATCATGTAACTATGAGGACACCACAGTAATTGGAACTTGGAGGACCGCTTGCAACTACCGCTCGTTCAGTGCTGTCATAACTTGCAATGGTTGCTGAATGAGTAGTTAGTTGTAAGTCAAGGACTACCTGTAGTGTTAGGTGCTTGCAGATCACAATAAGCTAGACACACACACAAGATTTGCATTGATCCAGCTTATCTTCGTGGAAGGACATTCTTCTAAGTATTGAAGGGATTGCTTACAAGCAAGTGAGGCACATTACATTGTATTTGTTAAATTTATCTGCCTCCCATCTCCCCAATAGGGCGACTTTGGGCAGCATAATAGAACACAAAAAATAGCCCTCACTTACAAAACCAAGCAAATGAAAGCCCCATTGCATATCAGAAAGAGCTGGCGAATGAAACGCACACAATACTACAATGAGCCTTCACACAGTGAGTGGTTTAATGCAGAAGTCAAATTTAGAATAGAGATATCTTAACCAAGTCACTGAGGTTAATAGTTGCCCTATGTCAAAAGTAGGTCAGTTAAGTGGGGCAAAATATTTCCCAACCAATTGCTTAAGGTTTATTTCTTCATGCACCTGAGTAATGGCTCTAGTTCAGACGAAATTGTTTTGTTTCCCCTGAAAGCATGATGTAAGTAGGTAGAAGAACAATTTTTTTTTTTTAAAGATTGTATGTCTGTTTCCTCCCACAGGCAGCGCAACCAACTGTTGCCAAGTGGGAGATGGGCAAAGAGACAAAGGAGGGTATATGACAAAGGTTGATTCCTTCTATTATATATAATGTCAGTCTGGGACTTGAGAGGTGGCACACATTTCTGCAGCAGGACATGGGCATTTATTTCCCCCCCCCCCCAACAGGGTGTGAATAAAAGCCTGGTGTAGCAATAATTGTAGATTAGTTTCCATCTTCTTGCCAGCATTGATGGTGTGTGTTACCTGGAAGAAGGTAGAGAAACTGTGATAGATTATAAAGATTCCAGATTCTTCCTCTGCAAGCAATAATGATCTCACCTAGCTTTTTTTGTGCTAGGTTTGCTGGGAATAATTATGTGCGCAGAGGCAATTAAGGTCACATACTGGTAGTAACTGGGTGGGATTTGTACTTAAATTCACAAATCTCTACTCCCAGAAAAATTATGGAAATACTATGAAAGGAGGCCATTGAAATTATCTACGTACCTCATAACAAAATGCAATTCCCGGGATAAGAACTCTGACTGCTAAATTGGCCAACGTTTGTGGTCCAGTCAAACTTACTCTAGATTCCTTCTGTCCATTACAAAACTAATAAGATCCTAAGAGACAATTTCCACAGCATGTGTAGCAAATGCCAACTATGTAAATTGGAATGTGTTGCTTTTAAAATTTAAAGGACTTAAAAATGCATGCTTGATTAAATGCTTTGGACCCGTGAGGGCAGCTAATGCATTGTGTGGATTAAAATATTTGTCTGTTATACTCATTTATTTTGTTTATATGTCACTGACTGGCTAGTATAAGGCAGTACATAAATCCCTTCCATGTTAAAAATGACCTTGGCTTCAGAAAAGATAAGAAAATAGCATGTTTTCTTTGTTGCGAGAAGGTCCTCTTAACTATTTGGCAGGCGGTGTTTTGGATTACTTTAAGAAATTATCCTTAGTTACAAGGATAAAATGTTGTGCAGAATTGTAGTCTGAGAAAACATTTTGGCTTATATGTTGGATATACAATGATCCACTTTTTAAGCTCTATTTAATTATCCAAAATTTTCTGAGGTTTTTTGTATTTGAAATGCTTCTTTGCATCCAGCCCTGTGAATTGTTCCCAGGTCCGCATACTTCATGTATCTTGGGTAACAGCTAAAATGTTTTCTGGAATTTATCACTCATGTCTCTGACCTAAGCCATGACTGACAACTCAACTTTCCTTAGAGGCTGGAAGCTTTCCAACCACTATGGCTTGGAAATCTCCCAAATTGGATTCTGTACATTTTTCAGAACTGACTGAAGAAATTTAACATCTCAAAATACATGCATTGAGATATTATTTCTATGTTCCTTGGCCCCTTTAGTTTGGCCTCTTCCCTTCTGTTCTCATGTTTCAAGAGAACATTAACTAAAAATACTTTCTTTTCCTGGATTTTATTTGGTTGAAACTCTGCCATTTGGCAAAGTCTGACTGCCATCTGGAAGTAATTCTCAAAGAAAATGAACCGTAGGTTTCTAGTGACAGAGCAGGGAAATTGCTTTCTGGAAGGGAATATGTTTGAATAAAAGGATAGAATTAAGCTTTCTAACAAACTCATATTAGAGCAGAGCTGGCATAGCCAGGTGCAACTTTTTGTGGCAGATATGATGTGTGTGGTTTCTGGAAAATATGAATCAACTATTTTTCCTGAGCGCCAATCTTGAGGTCTAGTTTAATATATTTAACTAGTGGGCACAGTTAGCGCTTTTAAGTTGTATGTTTTAAAAGTAGCTGATGCTGTTTGAACTGAAACACTAAAATCTAATAAAGTACGTTGTGTGACTTGATTGTGCTATAAGTCTAAAGCTCCATTTTTTAGTATTTATGTTGGAGTCTGTTTAATACAATTCAGTAGCACACAGTTTATTTTTAAGAGGGGGAAAAAGGAAGACTTGATGTTTCCAAAGATGTGTGCTTTAGTATTTTCTAAGCATTGTGAAAGTGAAATGCAGATCTAATTTAATCAGTTTAAGGTCTTATAAAGGGATATATTTTAGACGTTTTGTTCATACATTATATTACTATCTGGATTGAAATAAAGCTATATTTGCCTTCTCTTTGATTCATGTTCCTTGTTGTGAAATACACAGCCTGTATTTGAGCCCCCTATGGCCATGCCATTATTTAATTGCATGCCGAGTTTTTGTTGGAATGATGTGACTAATAGTAGCTTCTTATTCAAAAAGGTATAAACATGTAGATGTTTATCTACACACTTAAGTATATTCTTTCTTTTGTTTGCCAACATGTTGAGTGCTACAACTGATGGACATTCAGTATGGAGAAAGAGTGGGGTTTTTTTAGATACTTCTTGTGAAGCGTCAGGGAAATCAGAAGATCTCTAGGCAGTTCAAACAGGCATAGATATTTATTGCAAGTTTGAGCTCTCTATAAGAATCTGAGCTGCTGACGGTCAAAGCCAATTGGCAGTAGATGAGAGTCAATGGAATTCAAGGTGGGCTGGACTTAGATCTCTTGTGGGCACGAAGGGGCTCTAGACTGATGACACGTTTGACCCCTCCCTCTGGCTCAGCCTAGTCATGTCCTAAACTTTTGCAACTAAATGATTCTACCTGCTCTCTGCTAATGCACTGTATTCTTTTCCTCCCTAGAGGTGGCTCCTCCAGGATTGAAGAAGCCTGCGATATCTATGCCAGAGCAGCTAATATGTTCAAAATGGCCAAGAACTGGAGTGGTATGTAGCCTGCTTGATCCTGTGTCCCACACTGTGGCATACTTTACAACCTTACAGAACCGGGAAGGGCAGGGCAAATGCTGCTCTGGCTAGTTTCATGGAACAATGACTAATATTCACGCTAACCTCATTGGCTGTAGAATTGCCACTGCCTAAAGCTGTGGCAGTTTTAAGTAAGAGCTGTACAACCTAAGATTTGATAGCAATGATAACGAAGTAATTTAAGATTATATATTCCAAGGATCTTCCTTCCTGCTACCCTTTTGTTTCTAGCAGAGGAGAATAAACTACAGACTCTCCAGAATTTAGCCCTGGTTTTCAACTTTTAAGTTGTTTATTAAAACGTCCCTAGCCTTTCATTCTCCCCCCCTCCCCCCCCGACTCTCTTCTTCCTCTCGCAGCTGCTGGGAACGCATTCTGTCAGGCGGCTCAGCTCCACCTCCAGCTTCAGAACAAGCATGACGCAGCCATGAGCTTTGTGGACGCCGGCAATGCTTTCAAAAAGGCTGATCCTCAAGGTAAGTAAAACAGGGGTAAGGCCCTCCTGCAGCCTTAGCAGAATAAGAGAGGATTACCCCTCGGGGCATGAGGATGATCCGTTCATGTCTCCCATCATGTCCACTCAACCTACGCAAACCGGTTTAATCTACAGCAGGGGTGTCAAACTCAATTTCTTTGGGGGCCACATCAGGATTGTGTTTGACCTTGGCGGGGGTGGCCGGGGAGGGCGTGGCCAGTTCGACATCTCTCATGTCGGGGGCGCCTGTGATGGCCCGAGTACTCTGTTTCTGAGCTCCGTTTTCAGCTAAGATGGATTCCTGCAACCCTCTGCCAGTGAAAAGCGAGCTCGGGAGGACCACGCACGACCCTCCTGAGCTCCGTTTCCGCTGGCAGAGGCACCGCAGGCCAGTCCTTTCCAGGGCAGCCCTGCGGGCTAGATCTAAGCACCCCTGGGGGCCGAATAGAGCCATCAAGGCCTTGAATTTGACTTCCCTGATCTACAGTATGTAAGTTTCCAGCATGCAGTATATCCAACAATGCTTTAAGCTTCAACACATATATATTTCCTTTCACCCACCCACCCCCACCCCCCAAATAAGTCAACATAGCTGTGGACTTATTGATAGTTATTCCCCTTTTGGTCATTTCGAGCATGACTAGGAGGGGGAAGGCAAGAACTGAACTAAACAACGGCTTCAGGGGCCAAGTCACGCATGACCCTGCCATCCAGATGTGCAGTACCTTCTGTTGTTAGGTCATCTCCGTGGCCTATGGATATAGCTTCAAGGCCCTGGCTTCTCTTGAGAGACAGTGAATCATGGTTTCCTGGTTCAGCTCAAATAAGAAAATATGAGGAGTTGGATTCTGGTTAAATACATCATAGGGGATGAAACTATTTTGAGTATCCAGGATCCTTGGTATTCTCTGAGCCTTGTTTTTTGTTGCAGACATTTCATGACCCAACTAGGGAACATCATCAGTAGTAGCATAATCACATAGCACTGATGATGTTCCCTAGTTGGGTCATGAAATGTTTGCAAGAAAACCAGCAAGTTCAGAGAGCACCAAGAACCCCACAGTTGTCGCCGTCGTCCTCCTCCTCCTCCTCTCTACCAACTGATAATATTACCTGGTAGGGTCATGAAACATCTGCAAGAAATCCACCAAGTTCACCGAGCACCAAGGACCTCACAGTTCAGCCCTAAACTGCAAATATTCTCTACTTTTGAGTATCTGCTTTGTTAATCCGATGTCATTAGTGGACTACACTTTGCCTCTTAATCCTTAACCGACTTGATCTGCCTTTAAATGGGCCATCAAGCTGCTTGTTGCTAGAATGCCAAAGAGCAAATACTCGCCAGCTCACCTCCTGACAGGGTACACAGAGATACCTTCCTTTAGGTGCAGTGTTGCAGTTTAGCAACCCTCCCCATTGTTGCAAAATGCCTAATTCTAATCCATGCACGCACTTCATTTTAATGTCCTACCATTTAAGTTTAGGAAGGCTTGGGTGATCTTGGGTTGCCCAGAAGTTGGCTTTCTGTATAGCTTAGAGTAAATCTGAGCTTTGCGTTATGAATCTCCATCTTCCTCCCCTCCAGAGCCTTTGTGATTAGGAGAAGGTTACAAGGAAGATTTTACCTTTTTTGCGGGCGGGGGGGCAGGGGGTCTCTCTCGAATGCAACACCTGGCAAGATCTACAAACTGACCCACAATTTGTCTAGGCACAACTTCTTGCTTTTGAGTCTGTTTCTGGGAAGAGATGTCCTTTTTTTTTGCACCTTGTTACTAGCACTTGTCAATGAGAAAACGGTGGGCAATTGAATCAAGAGATCTGTTTTCAGTAGCTCTCGTGGCTCAAACAATAGATTGGAAAGATGAAAATGTTACTTGAGGAGAAAAACACATTTAATCCTCACCAGGGATTTGTTTAATCTTTTTTGGAGGCTTGGAAGCTGATTATCGGCCATGAGAGGGAGATGAAATAAGAGACGATCCAAGCTGTTGTACCAAGTTTCTCCAAGGATTTTAATATGATGCTTGACGCCTTTCGGTTTTTTTTTGTTTTTTGTTTTAAAGTAAGCAAGGCTTTTCCTGGGATCGGAGTCTGGTAAAGGAAACAATTCTGATGCTTTGGAGCCAAACAGTGTCAGTTACAAATCTGTACCCCCTGTGTGTGTCTGTGTGTGTGTCCTTGTCCACACGGAACAGGCGTTCCAAAGAAAAACAAATTAGGATGCGGTTGTGTTGTCTTGGAGATTGGACAGAGCTTGGATCTTGAAGGGGAAATCTGGTTCTGGGAAGCCCTTAGCGGTCAGTTCATTCTCTTGTTAAAACAGTGTATTGGAGTTAGGGACAGGCTAGGATGCTCTGAGGACTCCTTTGAGGCATTGACAAGATTCCCTCTCTTGAGCAGGAAAAGGTGGGACGTGGAAACTTTCTCCTGCTTATAATTTGATAAAAAAATACTTGGAATAATGCCAGTTTATATAACAGGAAATATAGGTCTTTTGAGGTGTCGCCCAGGAGCAAGGGTCAGCAACCTGCGGCTCTAGAGCCGCATGTGGCTCTTTCATTCCTCTGCTGCAGCTCCCTGTTGCCGGTCAGCTCCACAATTGATAGGGCTTTTGGTTAGGACAGGTAGAGGAAAAAGGACACCGTGCTAGGAGGAAACTATGGTGAGGGAACCAGACCTCCGGTTGGCTCCAGAATTGAATGGGGGGTGGGTTCTGGTTAGGACCTTTGTGGCTCTTTAAGTGTTTAAGGTTGCCGATTCCTGCCCAAGAGGAACAGTGGTTGTCTACTCCAGTGATCCCCAACCTTTTTTACGCTGCGGCCCGGTACCGGCATCAGCTGGGCGCCGCGGCCCGGTACCGGCATCAGCTGGGCGCCGCCATCTTTTTTTGATGAAAACGTGCTTCCGGTGAGCTTTCTACCTGGAAAAGCTCACCGGAAGCACTTTTTCATCAAAAAAAGATGGCGGCGCCCAGCAAGCCAGCGGCCCGGTAGGAGTTGTTCCGCGGACCGGTGGTTGGGACCCCTGGTCTACTCGAAGTTTTTTTTTCCCCTGTGTTGCTGCTTGCTTTGATATTTTGGCATTAGGTACAACTCTTTATTTTTCCAGGCTGATTTTCCTCTACCAGTTACAAAGTGCTCCACTATGATGGAATTTAAATGTATGTGTAATTCCCATGTCGCTTGACTCCCAGCTACACAGCTAACCCTGAAAATAAATAACGATAAGCTTGAGTTAGCCAAGGTACTTGTCTCGTATTTGGAGCAAGCATCCCTTCAAAACAGAAGGACTAGGGAAGGGTTATTGTCAGCTTTGGAAGCCATATTGAGACCAGATGCTCCCACACTGCCACATTCTTGAGCCTGGGAAAATGGGAGGGGGAAATTTCTTGGAGCGTATGTGTTTAGACATAATAACATTCTTTTTCTAAGTCAAGGTCATGTTACCTCTGCACCTGGGTGAGAGGACGTCTCAAGCTGGAACAGATGGTGATTGGGGCATGTGATGTGATGATGGGTGCAGGGGGTGGATTTGTAATTTTTACTTATTGCAAGGAAGCCCGGAACTTTCAGATTTGGGATTTCCCAGATGTGCCAGTTCCAAATAAAAACAGAACTTTTGAGAAGATGCCTGTCTCGAGAGTTATTGGTTGGAGTGGAGGTTTTCTGGAATGCTGACAGTTATTTTTAAAAGCTGGAGTTGAGGTTGCCCAATTCTCCGGAATATCAGTACAGCTAGTCCTTGACTTACGACCACAATTGAGCCCAAAATGTATGTTGTTCAATGAGAATTGAAGTGATTTTTTGCCCCATTTTACGACCTTTCCTGCCTCGGTTGTTAAGTGAGTCGCCGCCCCTTAACTCAGTAACACGCTTGTTAAGCGAACCTGGCTTCCCCGCTGGCTTGGCTTGTCCGAAGGTCATGTGGCCCAGGGAAACAGCAACAGTCATAAATAGGAGTCAGTTGCCAAGCGTCCAAATTTTGATCCCATGATCGTGGGCACGCTGCAAAAATTGCGACTGTAAAAAACAGCCATGGGTCATCCTTCTCCCCCCCCCCCCCCCAAGTAAATTTGAACGGTCACTAAACGAACTTGTAAATCGAGGATGTCCTTTACAGGTTAAACGTTGCAGTTCTTCACGCAGCCATGTGATGGCAGAATTGGAACCCCTTCCAGTGGTTGCTTGTCCTTGGCAGTTCGGTCTGTCCCTAACCCCAGCCTGGTGCCCAACTTCACGCCCTATTCTCACTCCAGGAAGCATGGCAAACCACGCGGGAAAGTCTCTTCCGTTCTCGAGATATTCTGTCCCGGTTCCAAGAAGAACTCAGCAGTTTTTCCTTAAGTGCTTATTGATCTCCTCCAAGAAAAGAAAATACGCTATAAATATTCCTGCCTTCTGTTCCTTTCAGGGTGGTTAGCCTGAGCTGCATTGATGAATGGCTTCGTTTCTTCGTGTTACTGTATTTAAAATGGCTTACTTTGTTTTTCTGTTTTTTTTTTTAATAGAGGCCATTAATTGTCTCCTCAGAGCTATTGAGATCTACACAGACATGGTAAGTGGCTCATATAATTCAGAAGCACCCTTCTTAATTAAAAACAGAATATTTTATGCTTGGGAAAAAAATACTCACTTCGCAAGCCCACATAGAGGATGGCTTTTCACGAGTTCCGTGCTGGGTTTTTTAAACACATGGTTCCCAAGCAAGGAACCACAAATGGTATGTGTGTGGGGTGTGTGTGTATGGCTGACACACCAATGGCATAGTACTGTCATAATGCTGACAAAGGTTTGTGCATTGGAATTGCCCATAGATGAAATAAACACCCCCATTAGAGGTAGATGGCTCTTCTTGCTACTTGCTGCAGAATTTGCAGGAAACTACAGGTAGTCCTTGAGTTATGACCACAGTCGGGATCAGAAATTCTGTGGCTAAGCAAGGTGGTCATTAAATAAGCCGTGCCTAATTTTATGACCTTTACAGAATCTGGAGGTTCAGGATAATTTCCTGATTTCAATATAGCTGAGGAGGTTCCCCCATGGATTAGCACTGCCTCGGGTGGGGCACAGACATCCAATTATTCCCAAAAGTTGGTTTCTGATTCATTCTATTTCCCTGGCTTTTCTTTTTCAGGGCCGTTTCACCATTGCAGCCAAGCACCATATAACCATAGCTGAGATCTACGAGACTGAGCTGGTGGACATTGAAAAGGTACGATTGAACAGGTGGGTCATGTAGACCCTGTCTCAACAAGCTTGCTTACAATGGTTGTGTCCGACTCTTCGTGACCCCAAGGACCTTAGCATTCCAGGCCCCACTGTCTTTCCCTCTCTCCCTGAGTCTACGATGATGTGCTATTTATTTATCCATTCAATTTATATGCTGCCCCTTTCACTGTAACAGCGACTCTGGCGGCTTTGCCCTGAGATTGTGAGAACTTTGGAAAAGTTCATTTTCAATTCTCCTCTTGTTAACACCCAAATTTCAAAGGATCCCGGGGTAGTAGCTCTTTTGAATTCTACTGTATAGTGCAGTGTTGATGTGGTGTTGGGGTTTTTCGGTTCAATGTGTAGAGTGTGAAGGATGTGTGTGTTTATTTTCATGGTCATGATGAGCACTGAAGATGGTATTTGATTTCGTTGTACGAGGTGCAATGACAATAAAGTGAAGTATAGTAAACTTAACTAAACTACATTTAGTTGGCGGGTGGGCAGGGAAGGGGGACTGGTGGGGCTCCAGGAATTAGGTTTAGTGCTTTTTTTAAAACCAGTTTGCAGTCAGAGTTGCAGTTGGAGCTAAAAGTTCATTTGAAAGTTTTGAGCAACTTTTGACTAGAAAGACGAGAGAGTCGTGTCTCCCATTGCAAATGACCTAATTACAATTAACTGCCAAAATGGAGAAAGGCTAGGGCCATTAAATAGAATGCAGTATTTCACTGGCCAAGGGTGATTAGACACACAAGAATTTTGTCTCTGGTGCACGAGCTCTTGGTGTACATACAAACAACAAGGTAATGTAATCATGAGGTACCAATAGGAGATGGTAGTAGAAAAGATGAGAAGGATAATAGTAACACAGCCCTACTGCCTGGATAAATACTTTTAGGCATAAGACAGTACTGTGAGAATGAGGTGTTCGGCAGAGTGATGGCATGAGGGAAAAAACTGTGTGTGTGTGTAGTAGTTTTGGCATGCAAGGTCCTATTGTGTAAGGAATACTGGCTATGAACTCCTTGGAAGAGTTTGCTAAGGAAAAAGTTTGCTCCGTTTTCTTTCCATTTCCCTTTTTTCTTCCTTTCCAGGCAATTGCTCATTACGAACAAGCTGCAGATTACTATAAAGGTGAAGAATCAAACAGGTAATTCAGGCGTTCCTGTTTCCATTTCTGCTCTGGGCTGCTTTAGGATGGTTCCATTCCTGTTTGTCAGAAAATAGACTGGCTTAAAAGGATCGAAGCTGGATGGACAGCTTATGTGCTTTGGAAATGGCCAGAGGACTTTTGTGTTCCACTGATGGCAGGCTAACATAATATTTTGAGTTGATCTTGTGATTCAATTCCCTGAAGCAAAGTTAAAGTAATATTTCCTCATAGCTCTGCTTTGGGGGATATGAAAGCAATGAGAATGTGGTTCTGGCTTGGCTGGTCTTTCACGTTTTCACAAGCATGTGCTGTACTTCTCTGACTTAAAGCTCACACTATGAATCCAGCCTTATTTTGACTGCTTATTAGACCATATATTTTTTTGCTTTCTCCATGTGAATGGCTGCTGCAGGTTTGAAATACAGTTTTCTATAAACTTAGACCAAAATGACTTGGTCTGTTTGGGGGCAGTGGTGGAGATATGGTGCAGTCGTTTGAAATCTGCCCCAGATGTATACATTTCCATCAAAGATTTTTCATAGAGTGGTGCAGTGGTTAGAATGCAGCATTGCAAGCTAATTCTGCCCACTGCCAGCAGTTCGATCCTGACGGGCTCAAGGTTGACTCAGCCTTCTATCCTTCCGAGCTCGGTAAAATGAGGACCCAGATTGTTGGGGGCAAGAGGCTGACTTTGTAAACCGCTTAGGGCTGTAAAAGTGCTGTGAAGCAGTCTTAAGTGCTGTTCCTGTTCCTATTGCTATAGGACAGGGGTCCCAAAACTTGGCAACTTTAAGACTTGTGGACTTCAACTCCCAGAATTCTCCAGCCAGCATAGCTTGAAGTTTGAAGACCTTTGCTATAGGAGCTGTGGACAAAATTATCACAGCTTGACTGGTGCCTCAGCCATACGTTATCTCTGGAATCAGAACGAGCAGCTTCATCACTCCCAGAAATTTCTACACCGCTCCTCTCACCTAAGTGACTCTGGGCATTTTACAACAAATTAATGAAAACCATATAAACACACAAATAAAAAAGCATACCTTAGGAACAGAGTTAAACAAGTTAAAAGTTACAAGTCAAAACGAATCAGGTTACAAGTTCAAAAGCTAGGAGGCTAACAAGGCAGTGGGAGTGTCTTCAGGCCACCAGCCATCCAAGGTGGCATCATACTTTTCATAATTATTTACACCCAGGGTCCACCTCCTTATGTGTAATCTAGCCTGAATGGATTATTCTGAATTTAGTTACCATGGAGGAAGAATTATTGCTTAGTCAGCCGCTTCAAGACCTAAGAAATCAGAAATGCCTCTTAAGTCACCCTCCGCCCTCAGGCTAGTACTCAAGTTTGAAAAGATCTTGGCTCCTGCTTAGAGCAGAGATCCTGGTTGCTAGGAGCACTTTCTGGAAATCTTCATTATAGACACGTTATCTCGATGCTTGCCCTTGGGAGGTGCAGTTCTACTCTTAGTCTCTCTAGACCAGCAAGAGAAGCCTTGGTTAAAATGCAACTGTCTCCCATGCAAGCTACTTTTTAAAGTCATGTTTGCATTTTGTCTTGGGTTCCACTAATGTTGCCCAGGTGGGCATGATGGAGGTTGTGTTGGCAGGTGGGGAAGAGGAATTGCTGGTCTTCCCTTGTCCAATTGCCTCCAATCCTTTTTCTTTTCTTTTCTTTTCTTCCTGCAGCTCTGCCAACAAATGTTTGCTGAAAGTGGCTACCTATGCAGCTCAGCTGGAGCAGTACCAGAAAGCTATTGAAATCTATGAGCAGGTCTCGTTGCTTCTGTTCTTTTTCCCCTCCTTCCACTGAACCCTCGTAAAACTGCACCTCTTTAACATACTGAACCACAATAGAGGTGTGAAACCAAGAATCTATCAGAGCTGAGATTTGCCAGTTTTAATGAAGGCAAGGGTCTCTGAATTTTGAGTTAAGAGAAACAGGGATGCCTCTTCTGTGGTTTCTACAAACATATTGTTTTTGCTAAATGTCAGGAAATTCATAAGTTTCCTCATTTATAAGACTGCCTAGCTCAACGCTGATTGAAAAATATATACATCAAAGGACAAACCCAAGAAACAAACACAAGAATAAGCATAACATACACACTTCATAACCCAGACAGTCAATGCCAAATGGACACACACCAAACTTGCCTCAGAGCTTGTGGGAGAACATCGCTTAATAGACGGGACATGAAGCACATGTGCTGTGTCGGATTCTACGACAGAGATGATGAGAGACTGAAAGAATCTCTGATGCCATAAAGCCATAATGTAATGTGAGGGATGGCCAAGTCCTCAACATGTCAGGAGAACTTTAATTGACCTTTCTTACTGGACCCTTCCCCAGCCTCCTCTTCCATCCATTTTGCCTCCACAAGAGCTAGAAACTTACGTTCTTTGCGTAAAACTTCCATTAGGTTCAGAGGAAGCCATCGTACATGATTTTCTGGGGATGTTCCTGGTATCTTGTGGCATTGTGAGCCCCTTCACAGAGCAATTCTAATAACACGTCCCCTTTCCAGAATCTTCCCCTTCAAATTTGGAGCAGAGGAATGGGGATGATTCAAAGACTTCAGTGCATTTTTAAAAAACTGGAACGGGGAAAAAAAATCATGTCTTTAAAATGCTGTATTTTGCTCAAAAAGACTTGTTTGCTAGTTCTATTCCTGTCTGTTTTCCGCTCTCAGTTTTAGAGAATGTGGTTTTGCTAATCAAATCAGCGCAACACATTTATCACGTCATTGGTTTGTTTATGCAAGGATAAAACATTTGCAAGAAAACTGTTTAATTGATCAGCAGCAGTCCAGTTTGCTCTAGCGGTTAGGTTAGAAAGCTGCAGATGGTGAGTTCAAGTCCTACCCTAATCATGAAAGCCAGCTAGGTGAGTTCGGGTCAGTCCTTCCCTCTCAACCCAACCCACCTCACCTCACAGGGTGGTTGTTGTGGGGAAAATAGGAGGAGGGCAGTGTGTTGAATAGATTCACCGCCTTGAATTATTTGTAAAAAATAATAAAAGTAGGATACAAATCAATAAAAACACTAATGACACATATTAATATAATTACAATATCCCTGCCGTCTTCCCAGTTCTCTGCTCTGCATTTGCCATATTTGGACTCCTCAATATGTAAGATTTACTGGCTTCTCTTAAGAAAACCAAACCAGGTATCTTCATATATCTCTTTTGTGGCAGGTACTGAATCCTACCTATGAGGATCTAAGTACCACATCATTTTCTTTCATTTTTTTTTTAAATCCTTCAAAACAAATCCCCCTTCCTGATTTCCTTCTTTTCTACCATCTCCAGGTTGGAACCAGTGCCATGGATAGTCCCTTGCTGAAATACAGCGCGAAGGAATACTTCTTCAAAGCGGCCCTCTGTCATTTCTGCATTGACATGCTCAATGCCAAGGTTTGGACAATGTCCTTTTGTTTCTAGAACTGCTGTAAAACGTTATGGTATTCTTTACTGATGAGGTAGCTGACCATATCCAAGTATGAGTTGCAGCCACAGTTGAGATACAGCAAAATGAGATAAGATAGGATACAGTGAAATGCCTTGAAATAGACTACAGTGAGGAAAAATAGACTAAAAGGGACTAGATAAAATGGAGTAAAGATAAAAGAGCAAGATAAAACAGCATAAGGTAAAACGGAATGCAGAGATATATATAATTGTGGGAGAAGGAATGGCTTTGAACCTTATCTAGTGTAGCCCCTCAGTTCAGCCAGCCTGAGAAGATTCCTATGTATAAACTTGAGCAATTAAACAGCTAATTGAATTCACCACATTGTGCCTGACAGATGGTGGGGGAACAGAAGCAGAAAGTTTATTTTCTGAGTCAAGGCTTGAGACCTTGTAGTTAAAAGTAACGCGATTATTACCTGTGCAGTATTTTAATGCAGGAAGAGAGAGGTATTGCAGTCAAAAAGGCTTACCTGCTGTTTGACCTTTTGTAAAACCTGAAGTCCTTTACCATTATTATGCCTTTGGATTCACCCAGCTCCTAACTGGGATTCCGTTCTTTTCCTTCATCTTCAATCAGCTGGCTATACAGAAGTACGAAGAAATGTTCCCTGCTTTCTCAGATTCCAGAGAATGCAAACTGGTTAAAGTGAGTAGTCCTTAGACTTAGACTAACTTTATTGTCACTTTGAATGTACACTAATTGACGTATATTAAAATGAAATTTTATTGCATACAGCTCCCAAAGGGTTTCCACCTCTAATATAGACTACATAAACATAACAAGATAAATAAATACAAAATTATGCATATACCCACATATATTATTCTTCAGGTCAGTCTCACTGATTTTATGCACCTGGTGGGAGGCAGACATTTTCAGTCTCAAAAGTACAGAAAGTAAAATTAGATTAGATTAGTCAGCAAGAGGGGAGGAGGAGCCAGGTGTTAAGCCGTACAATAATGGCATTGTTTTTAGGCACTATGGGTTAGATTTCTAGATAAGGCTGGAGATGTTTGGCTGGTTAAACTGACGAGATGCTTTTTCGGCCAACGGTGGTTCAGTGGTTAAAGACACCTGAGCTTGTCAGCTGCAGAGCCAACAGCCCAGGTTTGAGACCTGAGCTCCACGCAAGGGGGCGAGTCCTGTTACTTGCTCGGGCTTCTGCCCACCTAGCATTTCGAAACAGTAGATTAATAGGTACCACTTCGGTGGGAAGGTAACAGCATTCTGTGTACCTTGGCGTGTAGCGGAGGTTCTAAACTTGGCAACTTTAAGACTTGTGGACAAACTCCCAGCTGGCTGGAGAATTCTGGGAGTTTAAGTCCACAAGTCTTAAAAGTTGCCAAGTTTGGGGACCCCTGGCGTATAGTCATGCTGGCCACATGACCATGGAAATTGCCTTTGGGCAATGCTGGTTCCCTCGGCAAAGAAACGGAGATGAGCACCATGCCCCAGAGTCAGATGTGACTGACAGGGAAATACCGATGGAAATTCTCTGTCATCCACGTCATGGTTGTCTCAAATGTGCTTTCCCCCTCCCCCCCCCCCCCCCGAGGCAAGTGGACTTTCTGTTTTTTCTTTGAAGACATTTCACTTCTCATCGAAGGAGCTTCTTCAGCTCTGACCGGATGGAGGGGAATGGAAGGATTTGCAGCTGAAGAAGCTTCTTGGATGAAAAGCAAAACAACTTCAAAGAAAACCAAGAAAATCCAGTTGCCTCTTGGGGGGGGGAAAAGAGACCTTTGGGACTGACAGGGAAACCTTTACCTTTGATCATTTATATCAGGTTGGTCTACCAAAGACCACACTACAATGTCCACAAGAGCAAGGACAGGCTGTTTGGCCAGTGTATGGCATCTGTACTCCAACCAATGAGTCTTCTAACTCCCTTGCATCAACGGCCGAACCTTGCCCTCTGTCAATACTGTTTTGTTTGGAAACTGACCTAACAATGCTTCTCCTGTCTTCTTTCCTAGAAATTGCTGGATGCTCATGAGGAACAGAATATTGACAGTTACACTGAATCAGTAAGTTTGGGTTATCCTCCTCCTTTCCGTTACTGTCCAGTTCAATTTTTTTTTCACCCAGCTTGGTGCCTTCTGGACATGTGGGATTTCAATGATGTGATCATGGAAGATCAAATACAACATATCTAGGACAGGGGTCGCCAACCTTTTGGATCTCTTAAACTCATAATTTTAAATCCCACGGACCAGAGACCCTGGAAATATCCCCCAAAATGTCTGCAGGAAAATCCCCCACCCCGTTTTCCTACTGATCAATCATTTTTTATTTGGGATCGCAGGATACCGTCTCCAGCTCCGTTCTCAAGAGCAGAGAGAGGCTTTTGGCTTCATGCAAGGAAAGCAGCAGAAACAGCAGAAGTCTTTCTTTTTCTCCCCCAAACTCTGCCAGAAATGAGTCTTTGTGAGACTTGTCGTGCCGGCGCAGCCTCTTGGAGCAGGAGCCCTTGCAGGGCCCCAAAGACTAATTTCTGGCGGAGTTTGGGGGAGAGAAAAAAAGACTTTTCCTGCTTTCCTTGCGTGCAGCCAAAAGCAGAAGAAGAAAGAAGCAGCCTGGTGGCCAGGCCAGGCGAGGCATGTGGGGCAAGTGGGGCAAGTTCTCCCCCTCCACCCTTTTCCCCCCTCCCCTCACTACCTCGTGTTGTTTGCAATGCAAGCGACGCCAGCCTTGTGTTCCCGCACAGCCTGGATTAATTGCTTTGGGGGGGGGGTGCACTGGGGGTGATATTTCTCTGCAGACCACCAAAATTTTCTCGCGGACCACCAGTGGTCCCCGGCCCACTGGTTGGCGACCACTGATCTAGGGGACATCAGCAGTGGGTCTACCATGAAGCTCTGCAAGACTGGGAGGCTGCAAACTGCCTGGAATTCCGGAAGCTCATCTGGAAAGAGAATTTGACTAGGGAGGGTGGGAATACAGGAAGTCCTCAACCTAACAACCTTTCATTCGGCAACCGTTCAAAGTTAACAGCACTGAAGAAAATAATAATTTGCAGCATCCCCATGGTCACATGGTCAAAATTCAGACGCTTGGCGACTGGTTCATATTTATGATGGTTTGCGAGTGTTCCAGGGTTATGGGATCCCCTTGTACGGCCTTCTGACAAAGCGAAATCAATGGGGAAGCCAGCTTCACTTAACAGTGGTGATTCACTTAAGAGCTGTGGCAAGAAAGGTTGCAAAATGGAGCAAAACTCGCTTAACTGTCTCAGCAACAGAAATTTTGGACTCGATTGTGGTTGTAAGTCAGGGACTACTTATATTTAAATTCTCTGTGAAGGCCATGTGTGGCTTTAGAATATTCCTGGCTACAGTTATGTTTTTCCCCCCCTCCCTCAGGTGAAGGAATACGACTCAATCTCTCGCCTGGACCAATGGCTGACCACCATGCTTCTGCGCATCAAGAAAACCATACAGGGTGAAGAGGAAGACCTGCGTTAAAAAAACAAACCAACCCCTCTTGCCCTCCGTCTTCAGGCCCGTTATTTGCAGAACTCTGCCTGGATCACCTCTGGGGGAAAAAAAAAAGAGGGTCTTGGCACGAAGGAATTAGACTCAAGTGGCAAATTCTTCATTTTCCCTTCCTTTCTCATCCCGCCTTTTTGCGCTGCAGTGAACAGGGCTGGGATACGTCACCTGTGGACTACTCCGGAGAGACTTGAAGTCCTCCAAGCCTCGCTTCCTGAGTCAGCATTTACATCCTCCTCCCCATGGTTTCGCTGATGGTTTAATATTTAAAGCATCTTTTTTTAAGTTTGGTTTTTGTTGATGGTGCCATTCTCTTTTCCTTCTACCCAAAATCTTAATGGAAACTGATTCGGAGAACGGCTTCTTCTTCACCGCAGAAAGAACAGCTTTTGATATTTGTGGCTTCATCTCATTCCCCCCCCCCCCTCCCCTTTTGGCCGCAGCAGTTCCAGGCATTGCAAGGCTAGATTCCTTGAGTTTTGGTCAACCCTTCTCCTTCCAAAATTAATATTTTAAAGGTGGGCAGAATGGCGCTGATCTCTAAATGAAGGAGCCGGGCTTGCGAAGCATCTCTCACCTGCCTTGTTTCAAACAAGGCAGGAAAACCCAGAAAACCCCCCCCCCCCTCACAAATGCTGTCCTTGAGCTGTACGGAATAATCCTGCTTCATTCCATGTTTCTTTCTTGCACCCTGAATGATCTTGAATTTATGTGTATGAACTCAGTTTATCCCTTCAGAGCAGGAGTGCCCAACCTTGGCAACTTTTATGACTTGTGGAGTTTTAATTCCCAGAATTCCCCAGCCAGCCAGAAGTCCACAGGTCTTAAAAGTTGCCAAGATTGGACACCCCGCCTTTAGAGATTGGTGCAGAAGTCTGGCGTTGTATATCCATGTCAAGAGCGATATAGGATATCCAGTCTCCTCTCCCTCCTTGGCAAGAGGCAAATCAATCTTGAACTATGCAGCAGGTAGCCAAAAAAACCCTCCTAATTTAAAACTTAGAAGCGCTGTGTGCAAAGCTGTCTTGAGCGCTCGTCTCGCATGGTTTCCTCTCCCTTCTGGCTTAGTTTGAAAAGAGCATTTCTCCAGCCAAGTGTTCTGTATACATTGTCATAAAAGCTGCCGTATTTTTTTTCCTCCCCATGTCTTTGCTTTTAAGAGAAAGTGCTTTATCATGTAATCTAGCATCTTCATGAAGGTTTCTCATATTTAATGTTTCCTTAACTCCGTTGTTGGAAGGCGGACTTAAATTCTGTCGCATGTTCCAAAATGTCTACCAGAAAACAACTAATAGTGAAATAACTTGCACACAACAAACAATAAAAAGAAAGAAAAAAAACACCCAACTTTGCATGTGGAAACATCCTTAGCGTTGAGTGTGATGATAGCCCCCCTTTAACTTTAAAATTTCTGTTGCTTCTATAGAAGTCTTGCTTGTTTTCAGGCTCATCTCTCCTTGTCCTTCCCTGCACCCTTTCCTTCTGGATTCCAGTTCTGATTCCCTTTCCCATCAGTTCTTCTAAGTTGTGATCCAGTTCCTGAACACTGGCTGTGATTCTACCTGTCTAAAAATACACCCGCATGCTTGAATTTGGCTGCTTCTGTGTGTGTGTATTTGTGTATCCGTGTACAAATTTTTGTGACCGCAGTAGATTTTGGATGAAAAATCCTGCTTACAGGAGTGAGAGTTGTAGCTCCTCTGAAGTTGCATAACAAATAAGCATTGCCCCTATATTAAAAAAATAATCAAGGTTACTTTAAATTACATAATTCTCTACGCAGGGCATTGAATTTTCACTTTCTTAATTGGAATCTTTCTTTTTTTCCCTGCTGGCAATGAAGTAGCTTTTGCTAAACCTGGGTGCTTTTTTGAGCAGCGTATCTACCCAGCCATTAAAACTACCTGGAAAATGGTGACAATTGTCAGAAATGAAAAGACATGCAGTCCACAGGAAAGCAGCTTGAACATGGCTGACTTTGAGGTTTCCACAAGGACTCCACCAAGAAGTAGTTGGTGTTCATTGAAGAGGGACATTTTTCTGTAGCAATTACATTTACATCACATTAATATTCTCCAGAGAAGGGCAGCACCTGCCAGTCTCGGGGAGTGGGAGGGGGCATATTAAAGCAAGGAGGTTAATATTCTTTGCCAAAACACAGGCCCATAACTATAATTATTACACATCATATGTTAAGCAATTCAATACTTAATATTGCAAATCCTCAAAGATGTTATCTAAATGACAGTAAAGTTTGTCTTACTCGTCCGTGCTAAAATAAGTTATCCCTAATTCACAAGAATTGGACTAACTCCCTGATTCCACAACTTTCTGGAACGGTCCACGTTTGACTTGACTCCAGAGCTTGCTTTATTTCAAACGTTATATAGCTCTGAAGTCATAAAACATTCGTAACATCTCATATTTGCTGCTGCTTGTGCTTAACACCTCTTGTCACAGAACTAATGGCCAGGTGATGTGGAAGTAGTAAAACCAGCCAGATTAGAAGAGACAGTAAGATGTGTTCACAGAAGCATAACCTGGATTACCTGCCTCCCGGCGTGATTTAGACCAGTAGAATTTTTGTAAATTGTTCTTGCCTTGTTAAAAGTACAAACTAGAAATAAAAGCATGAAAGCTGGCGTTTGTGACTCCCAACTAGATCTTGTATTACCTTGAAAGCGAATACCTTGATTCTGTACCATGTCCTTTGGTTAGAAACACAGCCACCGAAACGTCCTGAAGAGGGCTGAAACACAAATGGTTGGGGATGGTTGGGATTTAAAGTAAAGGTGACAGGTAAAATAGAAAAAAATGAACAGATGGTCTAATGCAGGTGTAGTTCTCAACTTACAAGTTGTAAGTTGTGACCATTTCAAGGTCACAGCGGCAACTGAAAAAAGGGACTTACGACCGTTTTTCACACTTATGACCGTTGCAGCATCCCCCTGGTCACGTGATCAAAATTCAGACACACAACTGACTCATTTATGACAGTTGCAGTGTCACACAATCACTTTTTTGCAACCTTCTGACAAGCAAAGTCAATGGGGAAGTCAGATTCGCTTAACAGCGGTGTTACTAATTTAACAACTGCAAGGATTCCCTTAACAGTGGCAAGAAAGGTCGTAGTGGGGCCAAGCCCGCGTAACAAATATTTCACTTAACAACAGAAATTTTGCTCTCAATTGTAGTCCTAAGTTGAGGAGTACCTGTAATTGGGAGAAAGCACAGGTCAAGTTATTAACAGGAGAAGAGATCAGGGATCTTAAAATTTTTATTAAAGGCATAATGACTAATGTGGAATGTAAATAAATTTTAATGGGCTACAAATTCATTGTGTTTGTCGAGATATTTTGAAACGGCAAAACACCTTTCCAAGTATGTTGAGTCCAAAAAGCTCACGATGCTGCTGCTGTCCTTTAGAAAAATCCATGTCGCTTTGAGGTCACCATAGGCCAGGGAGTCTTCAAACTTGACAGCTTTAAGACTTGTGGACTTCCAACTCCCAGAATTCTCCCTCCGGTCACGCTAGCTGAGGAATTCTGGGAGTTGATGTCTTAAACTTGCCAAGTTGGAAGATCCTAGCCCTAGGCTCTCTTACAATATCTACAGTCAATCCATTCATCCATCAGAATAGAGCTGGAAGGGACCTTGGAGGTCTTCTAGTCCAACCCCTTGCTCAAGCAGGAATACCCTATCCCAAGGGTCTTCAAACTTGGCAGGATTCCTCAGCTAACATGACTGGAGGAGGAATTCTGGGAGTTGAAGCCCACCAGTCTTAAAGCTGCCATGTTTGAAGACCCCTATCCTATTTCAGACAAGCCGCTGTCCAGCCTCTTCTTAAAAACAAAGAATGAAAACAAAGCCAAAAACTGGGTCAAACATTCCAGCCTGGTTGTTAGATGACGTCACCGTCTTGCCTAGCTGCCGTCAAACGCGCATATTCCACGACGCCGCGCCCTCCCGGTGACGTCACCCGCAGCGCGACTGTAGCGTCGAAAGCCTCCCTCCCCCCGTGGCCGTCGCGTCCTGGGCGGGGGGGAGAAGACATGGAGGACGGGGCTGTCCCCGGCGGTGCCTGAGTCGGGATGGAGCCTCCCCGTAGCTCTGCCTTCCTGGAGGACAGCTTCACCCGCTTCTCCTCCCAAAGCAACGTCTACGGGCTAGCGGCCTTGCCCGGGGCAGCTCGGGGCGGCGGGCGAGGACAAGAGGGGCCAGCGGGGTCGGAGGAAGCCGGGGGAGAGCTCTTATCCCAATGGGGACCAGACCTTTCAGCGGGGCTTGGGGGGGGCGGCCAGGCGGGGGCCCCCGGGGAAGGTCCGGGGGGGCTCCTGGTGGCCACCCTCAAAGGGAAAGTCATTTATTTCCGCTACCAAGACATGAAGCGGAACCTGCGGCCGGTGGCCAGGGAGGTGCAGTTCACCTACATCCCAGGTAAGGGCGGGGGGGGGGGGGCCCATGGCCGGGGGGGGGGGTTCCGGGGGGGGGGGGCTGGGGGCTCCTGCCTAGCCTTCCCTGCTGCATCAACTGAGGGATAGGATCAAGGTCACGTGAAGTGTTAAATACCACTTTATAATACTTTTGGTAAGACCACACCCGGAATGCTGCATCCAGTTTTGGTCGCCGAATAGCAATAGCCCTTAGACTTATATGCCGCTTCACCGTGCTTTTACAGCCCTCTCTAAACGGTTTACAGAGTCAGCATTTTGCCCCCAACAATCTGGCTCCTCATTTGATCGACCTCGGAAGGACGGAAGGCTGAGTCCATCCTTGAGCGGGTCAGGATCAAACTTCTGGCAGTCGGCAGAGTTAGCCTGCAATATTGCATTCTAAAAGAAAGTGAGGAAGGAAGGAAAATAGCAGTAGCACTTAGATTATATACCGCTTTACAGTGTTTTATGGCCCTTTCTAAGCGGTTTACAGAGTCAGCATTTTATGAAGGACAGAAGGCTGAGTCAACCTTGAGCCGGTCAGAATCGAACTGCTGGCAATGAGCAGTCAGCCTGCAATACTGCATTCTAACCACTGTGCACCATGGAAGGAAGGAAGGAAGGAAGGAAGGAAGGAAGGAATAATAGCCCATAGACATATATAACGTTTTACACTGCTTTCCAGCCCTCTCTAAGCGGTTTACAGAGTTGGCTTCTTGCCCCCAACAATTTGGGTCCTCAATTTACTGACCTTGGAAGGAGGGAAAGCTGAGTCAACCTTGAGCCGGTCAGGATTGAACTGCTGACAATGAGC